AGACGTGACATATCAGACATGACTTATCAGGTTAGTATATTAACACGTTGGCACATATGATTAGCTCACCTGAAGCCTCGGATCACTTGTCTATCGATCAACTGTGCCACAGGTGATTGCCAAAAGTCTGTAGACATTCGCTTTTCTAAGTGAAATTATCCGGGTTTGTCGGGTATGCGCCGGTACACTAGTGGAAACTCGGTCACTTTGCAATTCAGAGGTTCAGAGTACAAATTCCAGCATAGTCAAGGATGTACATTGTTGATGAGTTCAAAAAGCGCGAAGGGCTTACTGCATGCTTCCAGCGACTTGGATTAACTAGAACAGCGGTATCAGGACAAGTAAAGGGATTATTAGTCAAGAGCGAGAACATTCCCGATGCATCAGCTACTAAAATTGTCGATTAGCTATTTTCCACTGGCTGAACTATATGAATACCGGTGTGCGTGCTCAAAGTGGACTCAAGTAAAACCACATCTTCTGCGTGTATTGGCGGTCAGTCACGCTTCACTGGCAGTCTTCTATCGGTAAATGGTCGGTAGACAGTCTGATTCGGTAACGTGCCAATTGGAACAGCATTTTCTGCATCTTAAACTGAGAGCTTTCTCATATGTTAAACCACCAGGAGAAAATGGGATTTCTGAGTCAGATTCTAAGCCGTGTCTGATGAATGAGCTGTTGTGGAGACCTCACAAGAGTAGTTTCTATGGACGACCGATACATTCCTCAGAGATGACTGGTTGGTCCTCTGTCGTCTTGAATAACCTGGACCAGTTTTAAACCCAAACGGTTCAGATAGAATTCACTGTAGCACAACCATTAGGTTTTGAGTGGCTACAGAAATTGAACACTTGGTAGACATGAATATAACTTTAAATGTTCCTAGAAATATGGCTGACACATCGGGAGGCAAGGCTGGTCTGGGGGCCATAGTACTTAAATACTGGTTACACATGAAAGTACAGCCCCAATTTGTGTTCTGGTTTTTCAAAGTACCCTTCATAAACAGAAGTCAAACATCAATGCCATCTCACTGGATCCTTTGTGCCATATGAGCTGCAATCTGTACTTCATCAGGACCTATTGGTTGACACCAAAAGGGCCCAAAATCAGCAGTTGACGCAGTAAAATTTGAAAAAAATCACCCACACCCAAGTTTGTATAAACAAATTGAGTTGGATGTCTCCCATGACGCACAATTTGCATCTTGGTTGGGGAGCCAGCGAGTAATCATTGCAGTGCTACTCTTCTTTAGCATCTTGGTTATTCTGCAAGGTGAGCAGCTCGGTTTGGAGCCTCATGTTTAGTGATAGCGTCTTCTGATGCAAATTGGGCAACTCCAGCTATGGCCACTATGGCCAGTGTACTGTGGCCCGGTAACTGAGTAATGTCAGTATCGAGACTACACATACTAGTGTACCAAGCTTTGTTTAACGCAGTGGCGATGCATCATTTAGGCACAAACTTGTCGAATAATTAGTGAGCTTGAATATTCATGTTCCATTGTTAATTGAGCAGATTGGGCTTTATAACAAAATGGGGATCCTCTTGATCTTTTTGGTTATCAACACTTGATAAACAGCCAACAAACCCACAAAAGTCACCAATATTTAGACACGCTGCCAGTTCAACCTTCTTCAAGACAGTTCTTGGCCCGACAACACAAATGCCAAAAGCAAATCAGAAGCTCCAGGACCAAGCTTCTAAAACGCCTACGGAATATTCAAACGAACAAAGTGAGCAGCTACGATTGTATGTAGACTTCTGTTACCACGAAGTACTCTTTATCTGACTAGAAGAAACGAATGAACCGAAAGTCCAGCATTTTTGGACAGCGGGGAAAATACAACCGGCAGGGAATTATAAAAAACCGACGAAATTCCGGTAGCTGAAAAGCGTCATTCTTCGACGATCGTCAGACAATCATAAGATATTGTTTTGAGATATAACAGACCTACCCGAACAGACACTGAACCAAATTAGTTGATATTCATAAGGCAGCGGCTTACGACAAGTAACCGGCTACAAAATGGGAAACCAGCGGGATTAAACGATTCGCCCAAGGAAGTTTCTAAGCTGGAAGGACTGGGGCCGTGAAGCGGATTTCATCTGATACGCACAACTTGGGAGACGGGAGACGTCCCGTAAGGATCCAAGGACAAAACTGTAATCCTTGTGTACAAAGTGAAACAGAGTCAGCAAAAGGCAAACAACTATCTCGGCATCCTCAACATGCTGTCCACGGCAAACGGATCACAATTCCAAATATCAGCAACATTTCAGCAATAACTTCATGGCATGTACACTAGTATAAAATAAACATGGCTCGCAGATCTGCGAGCATCCTAATTAGAGTAATTTCCAACCGGAAAAAATGCTAAGGAACACCTTCGTATGTAAGATTCAGTTCAAAGATTGTGACAAACGCTACATGGGACAAACAGAATATATAATCATAAAACCGCAACCAAAAGATACGACTAATTTTCACTCGTCTCCCTAAACAAAGATCAAGAAGGGCGTACAGTTGAGTGGGGAAATTTTTTATATTGGCCCAAACAAGAACAAAGCAAGAACGTGAAATCATGAAAGCGCGGCATTTCACTTGAAAAGCCATGGACTGAAGTTGACCCAAACTATCGACCGCAGAGAGTAAAAGAACTGAGAAACGCTGAACTGCAAAGCCGCGCAACAAACGCGAATGAACTGTTTTCAAACAGGTGGGTAGAACAGAACAAAAATTGAGTAGCTTAATCCTTTTTCCGGAATAGCACCAAACCAGTGAATCAAAGGAGGAAATCTGACGGAATCTGCCAGCGGCACCCGTGTTGATACATCAGTTGAACCGCCCCAGATGGGGAGATTAAGAAACCTAACCCAATTAGAACTAATTTGAAACTACCCCAACCCATCAGTCCAAGATATTGGCAAACACTATTCGACAAGAGCTGTTAACTAACACTCAACTCCGATCATGTGGGCTAATATAAAGACGTCTTTGTGATTGGTTTCCTTGTCTGCCTTAAAACCCGACCAGACAGGTGACCTGCTCTTTTGGCATAATGAAGCTTTTGTGACAGAAACGAAACGTGGCCCAAATAAAAAACTATCGATTGTTTACCAAGCTCTTCTGAAACGATGGATTCTCAATCGGTTCCGTAATTTCTCCAATTGATGTTTGCGCTGAACCGAAAGCAATGCTGCACTCGAGCCTTTGACGCTGATTTAAAGCTGATGAAATAAGATCACCGAGCAAACGTGTAGAGGTCTGCCGTAAGCCATCAGCCGGCCTAAGTATTACGGCAAAATAAAGGGCACTGGCACGCCGTGTTTGTTTACCATCCAGGTACCGGTGTAACGGTGATACTACTGATGGAAAGGCATGTGAGTAGTGTGTTTTCTTGTAAATTCGTTGTTGAGTCTCTTGAAAAAAGAGATCTGTTGCGGAACGTGTGGAGTCGCTTTGTAGCATCTGCTTGGATTTGAGCAGTGAATGATTTGGTCAATGAATATCCAGGAAAGTTCAAGAAGACGCGTTCAGGAGAAGATAGATGTTCAGCTTTTGTAAATAAGACGCAAATGAGAGTTTTACTTCCCTGTCCAGTAGTCTGTAACTGGTCAGTTGAATAACTCCGCAGCGAAGACCTTCTCCTTCGTGTTACTTTAGGTTATGGCATGATGTCACAATTCCCTCAGTATTTACCGTGACCCGTCCATCAACAGGCTATCATTGTTTTAAAGGATAACCCGGTGTTTTTCACTATCTTTGCCTTCAACGATTTTGTCATTCTTTTTGAGGACAATGGTGGGCCTATAGCTAGTAGAAAATAGGAAAAAATGCTTGGGTTCCATTAGGTCATGAGTACCAGAACCAAGCCTAGTAAGATGGGTCTGTCGTATGTTATGCAATGCTACTTGATTAAGACTGTGTTGGAGAGGTTCACTGCTTTCCGAATAACTTGCTTGATTTTCAGGATTGCAACGCATCATGCCTCAATGCTTCTCAAGACTCATGGCAGCCAAGGGTCAGGTCATCTCATGACCCAAAGTAGAAATTACCATTGTTCGACTGTAATTGATGAGAGCGAAAGTACAAACTGATAGTTCTACTTCCGGTCCTGGAATGCTTACGGGTGTAACTCAGGATCAAACTTTTGCTCATAATCTCTCCCATTTGTGTCTAACGGCTGTACATTGATGCTGGATTGCGGTTCCAGTATCGGTATTAGACGGTTTGGTTCCAGAAATTAGCTCCAGCAGATCCACACTCGTGTTTGCCGAAGATTTTTTATTTTTAAAAAGTAGGGACAAAAAGAAGGCAGAAGAGATGCCGTACATTCAACCAACTAGTGAATACTGCGAAATTTCAGAGTTTGGAGAGAATGGGTTTTCATGGGTAACGTATGCATCAGTCGTCTAGGCTGTGCGCTAAGCAGTAGGAAATATTCTTAACCGAAATGCAGAAAATAGACAATATGATCTATGAATCACACTGATAAAAATGAATAGCTCCGTCAGCGATAAGGTTTTATTGGGTTGGTAGCGTGAAATAGGTGGAATCCAATCAACGCATACCCAGAGAGTGTCTTCTGGGTTATACAGGTTTTTAAAGCTTTCTACCAAGTGCCCATCTTTTAAATCTATTCAATTTGCTTCTGGTATTATTTCTCACTTCGGAGGAGGGCTATGCGCTTGAATATGTGCTTCGTACACTGATGGATTCAGTAGTCTTAGGGTATCTGAGAACTGCTGAAGTAAAGGGGTTGTCTATGCAAATCATTCTGCTTACTTTGGTGTATTTTTAAAACGGAGATGAGGTGAAGTTTATTCACTCTGCACCGGAGGCAGCTGCTTCTCTTTTGTACAGATAGCCGGATGCCGCCTAAGCATTCCTTTGAGCAAATGGTTGTATTAAGTTTGGGACCAGCTGTGTCCTGAATATCAGCTAAAATATACATAATTTTTTAACACCTCCCTACCCCCAACGTTTCTTCTCAGAGAATTCTGGTTCTTCAAAGGCAGCTGGACTCATACCAGGCATTGCCACATTTGTAGCACCGTATGACGGCCAAGTTCGCTTTGTGCCACTGCCTAATGGAAGAATTCAAATCAACGGAACAGTTGCGGGTCTTCCACCGAACGAGACACTTGGAGTCCATGTGCATGAGACTGGGGACATAAGCAACCATTGTCTTAATGCTGGTGCACACTGGAGTTTTGTTAAACGGTAAGTCTGATTGATAGTAGCCAGAAAGCCTATGGTACGCCAGTGAACCATCGGTGTTGAGCACTGATGCCATGCTGTCGATGATGATGATGATGATGATGCGAAAGGCTATGAAAGCCGTTTCTGAAGCCCCATCACCAGGCAGTCGAGTTCGATACAGCGTTAAGAATGAGTCCAAAACCTTCGCATGTCTTGTGAATCCCACGCAGTCCTGTCCAGAAGGCGTTTATGTGTGAGACCAAGTGGTAAATACTACCCAGCTGGTCCATGGAACTAAATAGCCAGGAATTTGAAACAGGGGATTTGAACAGCTTCTGGAACGGATGGAACATGGCTGTTACACGGCTGTCAACAATACATCCTCACGGAAATTTATCAGACGCAATTCTTCTATGCACTGTGTCGCATATACTTCTCGTTTTCTACACGATCATCATTATCATCATAATCACCGTCATCATCATCATCATCATCATCATCATCATCATCATCATCATCATCATCATCAGTGGTAGCAGCGACATCAGTTTTGTTTACTTATCAGGTTTAATTTCCCTGCTCCGTCGCCTTTCTCGTTATCTTCACAGAGTGTAAATAAGCTAAAATGTGTCTGTAAACAAACTTTTTCTGCTGTTACTTCTGCTCATAACCGTAAGTTTGCGAAAGGGGATAATTTTGGTGAGGATAATGATGTTGCTGATAAGCAAGAACTGGTTTAATTTAAACTTCCGGCCGAGAAGGCGATTGAGATGGCTGACAGGTGTTGTGAGTTTTTGTTATTTATTTATTGTTGCAAGATTTGTCGGGTAAATATCTTTCTCATGTGAACCGTCCGCCTTCTGTCCCGACGAAAATATTTTGGCTAGTCCACATCAAAAGAGAGAAGAATTGGACTTGAATTTTTCTCCGTGGTGAACATCATTGATTATGTCTGGATATGAATCTCGGGGATCTGACGCCCGACGCTAACGTGTTACTACCACTCCGACAGCTCGTGGTGGACACACATGGATTACTGCACTTAAACAGGCGAACGTTCTCACGCTTGTCGAATGCGTTGAACGTTGGCTCAAAAAGCGTTCTGGTTGCGCGTAATTAGCACCACTGACATGAAATTGGCATCGGAGTGATCGTTAAGACATGGAAATTTTTCAAGAATATGAGGAAACTGGTGATATTGCATTTTGTCTAGAGATTTATAATGCTGCTGACCTCAGTAAAATAGGCTCAGAAAGAGCAGACTGTTACCGACCTGATGTTTGCAGAACTGGACAGTTTGGTGATTAATTTTTTTGTTTAAGAACAAATATTTTCATGGAGGGGTTTACTTACAACGCATACCCCAAAGCCGGCTTTGACCTTCTTGGGTCTGGACTACTTTTAGCGCGAAATTTGTTTTCATATCATTGCAAACCCGATGAACAACGTATTGATTTATTCCCTTATCAGAAAGTAATGAGCTCCAGTTGTTTTAAACTCTTTTAGTGCCCAACACGGAGGTGAGAAAACTGCGTATCGACATGCAGGCGATCTCGGAAATATGCAAACAGATTCTGAGGGTGTCATGCAATTCAACCTGGACTATTTGCCCGTTTACAACGACCCTTCGCATGGCTTCATCGGTCTAGTTCTGGCCATCACGGATCATGAGGACGATCTTGGTTTGGGCCGCAATGCGGAAAGTCTGAAAAGTGGAAATTCTGGAACACCTTTGACCTGTGCAGTAATCGGTAGAGCCAAGGCTGAGAAATAAAAATCTGAGTGACTGATGATTCAACCCAATGTTGTTGTAAAAATGGAAGCACAGCAGTTGTCGAACAATGAACGGACTGATTTAGGACAGTCAAACTTTGTACAACGAATTGACTTTTCATGGGTCTAACGGTGGGTGGGTGGCTGGGTGACATATTCAGAAAGACATTTCGTTCCGTTTTATCTTGTTAGGCAAAGTTGTATTGCAAGAAAACTGACTTACATTCAAGCTGAACTTTGTTAGAGTGAAAGGATGGATTGTACTCCTGCTCTGGTCCGGAGAATTCGGTCATAAAATTTGCCCCCGTTTGAATGCCAGCGTTTAAAGTTTTGGTAAATATATGCATGTACACTTTTGTACTGCTGTTAACAATGTTGTTTAAAATGGTAACAAGCCGCGCAGCCTGTCGCTTTCGAGGTTTACAGTGCTTTAGAAGGGCTGTAAATTTATCACTTTGCATGGTGGTTATAAGGTGAAATGTACGGGAGAATTTGGTGAATATAGCAAGGTAAAGTCCTAGTAGACTTAGTTAGTGGGTGGGTTAGTTAATTCTTACTTTGCACTTCACTGATGGCTGAAAGAACTACTACAGTCTATTGCTGAGTAAAGGTACGGTTTTATTGGCACACACTTGAGCATATTCTCCCCCTGTATGAGAGGCATTCAATTCCCACGGGGAAATTGATGAGTACTGATCTCTGGACTTGGATTTTCCTAAATAATTACAGGAGTTTGATTGGATTCTGGAAAGCTCGAACGCCGTCATGGATGCCAGATGAACAGAAAATGGTCTAATTTTGCGTATTGTTAGATTGTAATTACCATCATCGTAAAAACACTGAAGAAGTCAACCTGTCATTTTTGTAAGAAATCGACCTTTCATTGAGCTGTCCGGGTGGAACAAGGAAGGCAGGTCAAATGGTCTCCTCGACCACAGCTTTAATATTTTGAGTAATTATCTTGTTTTATGGAAACGGGATCTTTAATGAAATTCTGGAAGCTCGTCCAACCAATGAACCCGAAAGAGATTGAAATCAGCAGTGGGTTGCCAATGTTGCTTAATAATAAACTTGTGAGGAAATCATATTTCCATATTGGCAGAGAAATTTTTCCGACGACTTTCCACAGCGTTTCAGTTATGTACCTAAAATATGCTGTTGCGAACATTGATGTTGGTCATTAGATTGGCATTTTCGATATTCTGGTGCTGTAGCTACCAGAGTACCATCAAGTGTGGAATTTTCGTGGTTCTAGAAAATCCTCATGATTAGGGGCTGGTTGACTTGCTTTTACATTTCTTGCATTACTTTTTTTCTGTCTAAAGCCAATTATGCTATATGTTCCTATAAGATCCTTTTACAGATCACTTAGCAACCAAAAATTGTCTTTTGTTTTAGAAGTAATGATTCTCTGTAGTTTGCTGTGAATATTTTGAAAATGATGAAAAAGAGGGATTTTATTCGCTCAAAGCTGTTCCCTCAAATTCAATGTTCGGCAGGTAAGGCATCTCTAATAGATGTTTCCGGGACGCGTGTCGGCGACTTGGCACCAGTGTGTTTAGCCCTATCGAGTATTACAAGCACGATTTTCCGAAAGTCTGCTATGCTTTCTCCAATGGAAGCTCGAAACCATTGTCTTATAGGATGCGACGAATAAAAACAAGTATGGAGAAAACCTCCATTTACAATTGTAGATAAGCTAAGAAAGCATTACATCAATTACGGCCGTAGCATGTGTCTAATCATACAGTCTGTTGAATCTAACGTGATATGTAAGAAATTCTGAGCGTATCCGTTTTCCAAAATTAGTCGTTGTTTTCCGTGTAGACAAGTCTTTCTCGACGGTCTCCAAGGGTGAAATATGTTATTTGCTACAAAGGAGGTAAATTCTTTCCAGTCCACGAGATGATCCGTTTAGAATTTCCTTCACTTTTTGCTGGATAGAAGTTACTCAGAGTCAATCTGAAATCTGATTCCCACAAATAGCCAACATACACTGATAAACAAATGGAGTAGTCGGGTGCCTACTTACTCCCAGACCACAAGAAACTGCACTGCACATGCATCTCACCATGCCCTTGTTGAGAGGGAAACTAACTCGTGGTGTTTTTTCAAAGTTTATCATATCTTATCACTTCACTACCCTGAAGCAGTCTATTTATTCACTTGGACTTACTGAATCCGCATATCTTTCGAATCTTCATTGGGTCAAATGAGCACTCATTTCTGGAACGATAAGACGGTAGAGCGACAGGGATTACCGCATCCATCACTCATACCTAGAGTAGCCCGTCGCCGAATTTTTCTTCATAAAACTTGGCGGAGCATAATAGTCACGATGCACAGTGGTTTGCACGATGCAAACTTTAGCCAAGCGAATCCTATGCGCCGAACGATTCTCATTGTTTTTAAACTACATTATCCCCTCTCTATTGTGACCACAACACACCCAGAGGTATTTGTACGGAAAAAAGACGAGCATCTTGGCTTTGTTAACAATCTGCTCAAAACTGAGTTGGTTTGAGAAATTGTTATAGCACAAGCTACTTGAATCCGTAAATGGATTTTCCTTTCCTATGCTATAAACCAGACTAATCCGACAGGTGTTCAAGGCCGTGATGAGAGAAAGGGTTGGTTGTCTTTGATCTGAGGACGATTCAGCAGAGTCCAGGTCGTCAGCATCCAATCTATGAGGTTGCGAATAAACGACGCAATCTCCTGCATCAGTGCACATTGATCACAGTAAAAGTGGCCACTTCTGACTCCTTTGTAGGATTTGCAGCCTGTTTTTTCTGTAACTTGCAGGATTTGAGCAGGATTGGCAGCAGTAGCTAAACAGCTGTGTTGCGTTTCTTTGCTTTTCTCCATTCAGTTATTCATCCCTGCGTTAAAGAGCTCTTTTTACTTGCACGTAGTACAGGGACCATCAAGAAAGAATTGCGTGCAAACAAACGAGTGGTTTATTAAACACTTCGCACATTCTATCACGTAGTATAACATGAGAGGTCATTCGCCCCTGAGAGTTCTACAGCAACAAGGACGACAACACTGTTGTCAGTGGTCAGAAACTGCATTCTACGGCCAATGTTTTTAAACCGTGGGACACTATTCCAACAAATTCCTTCCTTTCCGATAGGCACTATAGATTTTCGCAGCGATTCGTAATGCGCTCCTGAAATTTCTGGTTTACGAAAAGGTTGAACTACAATCAAATCTATCACGATCCCCTCCTTTTTATGACAGAATTAGTTATGGGCGCTGTGGAGAACACATGTGACAGATATAATTTGCTGTACAGCTGAGTTGGGCCGAAGGATAACATGGCGACTAAGATTGACAGAACTAGTATACGTTTTAGTTGAATCCCCTGGTGATGTAAACGTATACTAAGTATGGTTTTTATTCGGTTTCTACTTTATTGTGGTCTAACTGCAAAAAAAGGTCAGGTGGGTTGTACGGTTAGAAATTTGGCATTCAGGATATCGGGCAAAAGCAGTGGGAACTAATTCTGTAATTATTCTCACTGGCGGATCAGAATCCTTACACGTACTAAATGATACTTCCAGTCTAATTTACCTATGGCAAAGGATGTTTTATGGCACTTTGAGGTAAACCCTCGACATGCAATTGTAGTGGTATGGTGCAAGTGATAAAAAAACTTATATTAAAACGGCGGATAGCTCCGCATTTTTACTAGTGTTTTCCCTGGACGAGGCAGAATGACTCTGTTTTGACTGAAGAGCCACAAGAGGTAAAAGACCTAAATGATGGAGCGCAGTGTTGTGGAAGGCGAAATTCTTTTTTAAGCTTCGGAGGGTAAACAAGCTGCGTGATATTCTGGAACGCTAAAGGGTCCAAGTGAAGGAGTTCACAATATCGGAATGTTTCTTGCTACAGATCAAAGTAAGCCATTCTGACATTCTGATCCGGTGACTTTCAAACGCTCCTGTCTCGGTTCCACTTTCCGTCCATAGACCTGTGCTGTTCCTCCAAACTTGTCCAACACATACTGCATTTCGGAGTACAAATGACGATCACGCTGCCTGATGTGTTTGTCACAGAATGAGAAGAACTATTGTTTTCTGCTTCAAAACAAAGTGAAACGAGAAACTTAGCATGCTAAGCTATGATGGCTTTCCCCCATTAAGCAGTGCAGCCCCTTCCTTGCCGATTGGGGAGCCAAGGCCAATGTAAATTTACACATTTGTTACCCATGGAGTCCTGAAGAGCAAGAAGGGAAGATAAACCTAGTGTCAATGGTGTAATTAGTAAAAACCTGGGTGTAAGCATGAAAAGGACAGTAACAGTTCTCGGTCAAAGATGTTATACCCATGTACCGATTAAACTGCTGATGAGGCGTGCGAGCAGCATCTAGTCATGTATTTCAAAGCACGTTTCGCACATCTGATGGAAGGTTGATTGGAAAACCATCGAACAGTTTTAAAGCTTTTGTTTATTGTTGTTTGGTTTTTGAAAAACCTACAGTAAGGATGGAGGGGATGTTTGAGGATGTTCATTTTCCCAAAGGCTCTCTAAAGTAAGGTTTTTGCTTTTGTGTCTTATAGCTTGTAACTAGTCACCTCCTTACTTGAAGATGCATATTTTTTCACTGATGTCGGACACCAACAGAGGCATTAGAGAAACGGACGTCGAGCACAGTCAGTTCCACAAAACGATATGATGCGTTGTGAGCATATGGGGATTTTATCTACAGGTGACAATACGCTGTAATAATAACCTATTTTTTTAGGAGGGAACAGATAAATAAATTTGAACACAGCATTACCCAGGCACGTAATTTGTAAAAAAATTGTGAAAATATTGGTTGCCATCAGCAGGATTCTTGTTAAGCCATAAGGTACAGGTAAGACTGTGCTTCCTTGTGAGAGACCAAATAGAATTTAACTAGTCTTGGAAGTGCCAACCGGATTGGTTCATTCCTCTTCATGTGCTTTGTGTCCAAGATGTGTAAATTAATGCTTCAAGGACAAACTAATTGAA